CCCAAAAGCCGCGCTGCGCCACTGAGGTAAGCTTTTGGCTTAACGAAGGTTTCATTTGACGAAGCGACAGCTTAAAGCTGCTTAGCAAGCTTGCTAGCGCGCTGCGCTCTTTGGCTTCGTTAAGTTGGGTTTTGTTGTTAATCAAAAGAGAGATTTCTTTTTGGAAAAACAAATACAATTCATTCTACAAATTCTAAAAATAACAATCAAAATAAAAACTATGCATTAAAAGCTTTAGTTCCATAAGAACTTTACTGAATATTTGATGACTCATACAGCTTTGACAGTGCTGCAAAACTCCAGATTATAGCAGCCAGCCACCCCTATGCTTCAATAAGACGTCACAGGTTTCTTCAACCCCCGCTCTCAGACAGCACACAGCCCACACAAAAAGGCACTCTTTCCGCGGAGAGCGCCTGCGCTGGTTTAACGATTTCCAAGCGGACCGAACAGAGGTAAAATAAAGTACCTCTGAGTGGAACTACGTTCTAGTATTGTTGTTTTCGCCAAGCCTGGGCATTGAAAGTGGAAAAATATTTGTAAAGGTTTTGATAAAAAAGTAAGATAGTAATATGTAATAATACTAGTTAAGAATTTACTTTGTGTTTGAGAGTTGAGAACTTCCAAAAAGTGATATGAAACCAAAGAAAAGTAGAGTCATGTATGCTTTGAAAAAAAAAAACAAATAGATAAGAAAACTCCTGGTGTGCTTCATGATATTAATATTAATACGAATGGAATTCGACTTTTTATGAGGATTTCAAAAAGAACATATTTTAATTTAAACTCGAAAGATATGAAAAGATTAAGAAAAAAAGAAAAAAAGTGAACCCCAGTGAATATGCGGGGGCTGTGATGATTCATGCGTGCACCCAAGCACCCAGGCACCCAGTCGAGAGCACCCATATATGTACTTAGCGTGCGTGTGTATGGCAGGAAGAGTATCATCTCCCTCTCTATCTATCTATCTCTCTCTCTCTTTGGCAACCTCAAGTAATGCAAATAACAACAAAACCCAACCATCATCAAGCATAACCTGGCAGCTGCTACCTACCTACTGCCGATGAAAAGAGCATACATTTGTGCGCAAAATCGATGTACGAAAATTTTTCACGTGCCACAAAAAAAAACACTTAAAGCCAGTCACACCAAAAAAAAGTTTTCTTACCAACTTTCCTCGTACAAAATGTGACTAATTGTTATTCCACACAGCTACGCAGCAACTTCCAGAGGGAAGAAAAATCTAAGAGAGGCTGAAGCCGAATCCGAATCCATTAAAAATGGCTGAAGAATATATACCAGATGTCAGCATGATGGACACAAGTAAGTAACATATTGCATCTTTATTTGTGAGGTCCCTTTCCAAATCTACTCATTAGGAAGTTTCTTTGAGAGTTGCGAGAAGTTTTTTTTTTGAAACTTTTTCAATTCTCCTTAATGAATAATAAAATAAGGAAGAGATAGGAGGGACCTGGTTGATGTAACCTTTTTTTTGTGGAAGGCCATACAAATAGGTGGGATTTTCTGTTAGTACTTAGACATGTAGGAGTTTTTATACAGTGGTGTTGAACTTTTTCAATTTATTCCCTAACATCTTGTGCTCTGTTTCCTTTTAGTTTTGCCCGCCATATTGGGACTGACGGCAGCTGCAGTCCTGTCGTCGGTGGCCTGCATCTGTGCCAAACAGATGCGCATTCGGAACAAGAAGCAGAACCATCATGATGCCTCATTCCCATTCCAACCGACCCGACGGCCGACCGCAGTTCGATCGCCCAGCGGCCAGCCGCCGCATTATCTGAAGAAGTCTCCATCGCCAACGAACGGCAAGCAGATGGGTCTGCTGTCGCCCATGCAGGACCAGTCGACCTCACCGACCGCACCACCGAATATGAAATACACCGAAGAGGATGAGGTACCCATGCAGCAGGAACAACAACAACAACAGCAGCAGGCTCAGCAGCATCAGATGGGAAACAAGCTGACGGTTGTGGATGGAAACGGGATGAAGCAGTCGCTGCACAATCATCACCATTCGCCGGTGGAGACGATTGCCAATGGAAATGTGACAATCACCTTGGACGACCATGCACTGACCAACGGCAAGGAGCTCGTGATAGCCGATCAGTATGGAAAACTGGGAACAATCTACTTCAAGTTACGCTATCTGGCCGAGAGGAATGCCTTGATGGTTTCGATCATTCGCTGCCGCGGATTGCCCTGCAAAGGCGGATCGGGCGGCACCGGCGACATACCCACTGGCATGAACGGACGCACACAGGCGGCCACCGATCCCTATGTGAAGCTACAACTGTTGCCCGACAAGCAGCACAAAGTGAAGACCCGCGTGGTGCGGAATACCCGGAATCCAGTGTACGACGAGGACTTTACATTCTACGGCCTGAACATCAACGATCTGCAGAACATGTCGCTGCACTTTGTCATACTCAGCTTTGATCGGTATTCGCGGGACGATGTGATTGGCGAAGTGGTCTGCCCATTGTCCTCCATTGAGATCGGTGACATTTCCAAGGAGGCCCTCTCCATCAGCAAGGAGATCCAGCCGCGCAGCCTAAAGATACGTGCCCAGGGACGAGGCGAGCTTTTAATCTCTCTCTGCTGGCAGCCGGCTGCCGGACGCCTGACTGTGGTGTTGCTCAAGGCCCGGAATTTGCCCCGTATGGATGTCACAGGTCTGGCCGATCCCTACGTGAAGATCTATCTGTTGTACAATGGTCAGCGCATTGCCAAGAAGAAGACGCACGTAAAGAAGCGCACTCTGAGCCCAGTATTCAACGAGAGTTTCGCATTTGATATTCCCGCTGCTGAGGTGAGTCAGGAAACACTCGTACAAATAGGGAGAGGGGAATTTTTATATTACTCTAAACATGTAAATGTATTTTTGTTGACATTCCAGGGCACTGGCGCCAGTCTGGAGGGCGTCTCCCTGGAGCTGATGTTACTCGACTGGGATCGCGTGACCAAGAATGAGGTAAGTTCAGGGTTAAGTTCGGACTCGTTCTCTGACTAATGCCAAACTAATTGCTTGGGTTCTTGTTGGGGCTTAGGTCATTGGTCGCCTGGAGTTGGGCGGACCGACATCCAGCAGCACCGCCCTGAATCACTGGAACGAGGTGTGCAACTCCCCACGCCGCCAGATTGCCGAGTGGCACAAATTAAACGAGTAATTGAGATGCGTGCAACTACAACCACCGCCTGGAACGAGTGCAGCCCCGGCGCTGGCGCCATTTTTGGAGAAGAGAAGCCAAGCAGGAAAACGGACCCGAGAGTCATACGATTCATGAGTATGAGCTCGCTTGCTATTCATTTATGATTCGTTTTCTATATAGCATATAATTTTATATATTTTTTATTTTTATAATTTGTTAAAAATTTTGTTCCCTTAAAATCGCTTAAGTTTGTATGCGAGGCATACACCCAAAAAGAGATGTGGAGCAGAATTATAATTATAATATTTACCAAAACCCAAAGCCCCTAAGTAAATTAAATGTATTAGAAAATGTTTAGGACATAAAAATGCATGTAAGTGTAAGATAATTCCACGACATCTTAATCGTAATATATATAAAGGAAACAGGTCAACCTACGTTTATATGTATGTGTAATGGACACCGATTATGTTGCTGTATAGAACCTGAATTCTCCGCTTTAAAAATCTGGATTGTTTGCTATTGTTTTCCATATCAATCGATTGAAGAATAACCATTAAATGTGCCCACCATGAAGCCGTTTGCATCGAGAAAATGAATTGGATTTTCATGATACAAAATATTAATCCCCAGGCATATTAACATGTATAATATATTTATGATATAATACCCCTAACTCTTAAGCATAATTCTTTGAGTACACTGTTTTTTTCTCACTATTTGTTTTTTTGCGGCTTTCTGTTCAATTGTAAAGAAATAATGATCCGAAACAGCACCGACAGAAAGCTCTCAAAGTGTCTCCAGATGGTAGATCGATCCAAAAAAAAATTGCTTACTGCTTAACACTTTATACGTACGTATTCTTAAAAAATGAAAACATTAAAGATTAAAATAGATGATGAAACCTAATTGAATCTAGAGACGGACACGCAGCTGAATGCTTAGCACCAAAAAGATACAAAAATCCACACACCCACAAACGAAAAAACAAAAAAAAGCGACGGAAATTCACCAAATAAAAACACAATACGATACAATAATTTAAGAAAAACATAGGACATGTAGAAAGCAAAAATACTTATAGCATATGTATTCTAGAGTATACATAAAACCCACGAATAGCTCAAAAACCGAACGCAATAATCACTCGAATGTGTATCTCTTGGCATTACTTATAAAGATCCCATCCCACACAAAGACAAAGCATAGCTTGAAGAAAATGCGACACACCACACACATTATCCAGCGTACTGAATGCAAATTATGAACAACTTATACTATGATAGATCTATACAGACATCAGCCTGCGCTTTTACGTATATTTTGTAAGATGAATGCTCGAGCATGAACTCCCAATTATAGATGTATCTACATACTTACATACCGCATAAAGATATACAACCATAGAAAATATACATAACTTAAATTTGTGTCCACTCAAAACTTCAATTCGTCTAAAAGGGAAAACAATAATAATTAATGGTGGCAGTAATCGATTCATATGTATGTCATGGAACCCCCAACTTACTCGTATATATGAGATGTGTATAATTCTATATTATAATGAAATAGTAATTGTAAGCAAACAAACATCAAATGGTTAATTTCAGTAAATAAAAAACATATACAAAATACAATTGAGAAGCGTCTTGCAATAAGGAAGCAATTTTCTATATATATTGTAATTCTCTACTGATAGCATACAGATTCCATCCCAAGTCGCGTATTCATCTCATCTTATCAGTTCGTTTTTAGCTCTCGTCGTGATCGGACCAATTATACTGCTGCTCTGTGGTTCATTTTCAATATATTCTATATATTTTAGATAAAGCTACGATATCTGCTATGAAAGTGATTACCGTTTTGTCATTTTTATGTCTCATAGGTAGGGTGGAATATGGAAGAGTGCTTGCGAATATCTTGAATTGTGTTCTTGAATACCAAAGGTTATCATTATGCGGTTAATGACAGCTGGAATACACATATATTTACATATGTGCTGCTGTTCTTTAAATAGAGTTGCTGATAGAGAATTTTCAATGATTGCAATTATTTAACGTCCATTTGTTCTATAATGATTTCTCAAGGATTCGCATTTCAATGCCTCACCAAAACCAATGAGCCCATTCAGGAGATTCAGATATGCAATGGAATTATTGACTGCGTGGATAAAAGCGACGAAATGTTCGAGTTGTGTTTTAATAACACCTGCGATGATGAAAAATTATTTCGCTGTACCTACGGCGGCTGTTTGGATATAGCGAGAAAATGTGATCAAATCACTGATTGCTGGGATTCCAGTGATGAAAATCCATTGGAATGCCAGAACGATGAATACTTGAATGCACTTTACGATGAGATAGATAGGAGAGAAGACTGCGAGTGAGTCGGTAGGAGGGATAATTTCGGGATGTATAATGTCTGAATCCAATTAACTTCAGGGGCCAACTCAGTTGCCAGGAGAAGTGCGTAAACTGGAGTCAGGTGTGTGATGGCCAAATCGATTGCCAGGATGGTCTTGATGAGAATAGCACTCTGTGTTCAAAAATCGACTGTCCGCATCCATCATTCAGATGCCTCTATGGCGGCTGCATCAGTGCTGCTGCCTTGTGCAACCACATACCAGATTGCTTTGATGCCTCTGATGAGCTGCCAGGAATATGTGTCAAAATAATGGGGAAAGAGCCTCCAGTAGGGCCAGAAGCAACAGGAGGGCCAGAAGTAGCAGGAGATACGCAGCAGGGTCTGACACTTACGTGGGAGGTGAGGCACTGCAGGCTAGAGGATCAATCGGGATCCCTGATTGCGAAGAATTACCTGGGCAGCACCACCTATCAGACCAATTCGACGGTTCGCGACCAGACCGTAGTGACTCTCAGTTGTTCCTACGGCCATGTCCTGATCGGGGAGCAGAAGAACATTTGCATTGGCGAAAAGTGGCAACACGAGCTGGCCAAATGCGTGCCCCACTGCGAGCAAACCGGCAATATCCTGCACGAGGGGCAGTGCACTCGCCAAGGACGCCTGATTGACTGTGATCAGGCCGTGCTGCCGATGGGGACCCGAATGGTAGTTTCCTGCAGCTCTGGCTATGAGGCGAATGAAAAATCCGGTGTACAAGTGTGTCATGGAAATGGCAGTTGGGTCGTGGAGGAGGAGTTGCCCAAATGCGAACCCATCTGTGGTGTGTGGAAATTGAAGGACAAGGCCAAGGAGCAGGCCCCCCCATGGATGGTTAGCATTTTTCAGCGCGGCCTTGAGCCTCTGTTTGAGTTTCGATGCCTGGCCACCATTCTGTCACACTATGTACTGATTACATCGGCGGAATGCTTCCAACATAAAACGATCAAGTTTGCTTTAGCCACAGAGCCAGTGCTCTATACGGTGGCCGAGGGCCAGGCCTATACGAGCACCTTCTGGACAAACGACGAACATGGCTACAAGCTCCACAACGTATCCTTTATACACAACGTCACGTAGGAGAGAAATATCCATACCTTAGCGATTTCTAACATTCTCATCTTTCAGGGAAACTAATTATTCCTTGGCCTTGGTGCAGTTGTTGCAACCGCTGGAATTTAGTGTGCGAGTGCGTCCCATTTGCCTGTCCAGTGAAACGCCCAGCAAATTGGTGGAGACTAATGGGACGATGATGGGTGAGGCGATCGTCAGCGTCGATGAGTCCAATCGATACGAACTTACTCAAATTTTGGCCAGCAAAACGGACAAGTATAACATAAGTGACTTCATTGAACCCATACGAAATTATATAGCCGAGTGCCAAGAGAGGGGAAACATTTAATTCACTTTATTATGGGTTGCGTTTTCGTGGTTACTCAGAAATCAATGTACATGTACAACTGAAGGAAACACACACCTACTATTGACAATTATACTCGTATATTGTATGTATTTATAGGCAATTGTTTAATGTTTCTATTTAAATGTGTTCCGATTTCGATTCGCTATTCACTTTGCTGCCTGGATCCATTCATTACATTGAGATTGCATTCTGGAGTTAAACACTATCTATTAGTAGGTTATTTCTTGATAAATTTAAATTTAAATTACAATTACAATTACTTTATTAAATAATACATTACATTTGATGTTGCTATACTCGTATTTTAGATTTAGTTTTTTAGTTTTTTGTCTGCCATTTAGTATGAATTTTTTTATAGGACACATTCAGTTTGCTTAGTAACTGCTGTAAAAACGTTTTTTCTCTCGCATCTACAATGTACGTCTGGTTTGTGGTTTGTTTGGTTTTTTCTTTAATTTTGATCACTTCAGTCTTTCCAAAAAGTATTACAACATCTCTATTTTCTTTTTTGCAATTGCCAACATATAATTAGAAAATGTATTAGTTCTTTCAAAATAGTTTTCTTGTATCTATCGCATAGTTCCATCTATAGTTGTAAACACATTTGATTTTCGTGAAATTTGTGTGTGCTCTTATATACTTATGTCGGAAAAGTTTCTTTCAGAAATCTTTCTGTATTCAATACGGAAATACACCTAAACAAATATATATAGTATATGTATGAATGTAAATTACGTTTTGGAATAAGTATCCTTTAGGTTCATATATATGTACATATATATCGGTTTTAGTTTGCAGTTGCTATTTGATTCAAGACTGCGAGATCCGTTTGTGCATTCAAATATAAATACATTTTCCATTCAATTCTATATTTACATGGTCTGCAATCGACGAGGTCTGTGGAAAAGAGAACTAAGCTTTTGGATGGTTTAGAAGATTCAGAATCCGTATGTTTAGAGTCAGGAGTTATCGTATAAACTTAGGTATGGACGGTGTTATTCAAATAAGAATACGTATCGTTGGCCATTTACAAAAAACTTAAACCAAATATAAGATCTAAGTGTCGCTTAGGCGCTAAGACTAACTACAAATCAATACTGTACAGGAATGCACGCCTCGTCAAATGATACAATTAATTTGAGTAGTAATGTGGATAATTACCAAACTTAAAAGTAGGACCCTAGCTACCCTTTCTCCTTCCCCGGACCGACACTCACGCCCAGCAGATGCTCCCCAGCCATCAGACCCGCCGGCTGGTGCGCATAGTTGCGGATCTGATGCAGCGAGATCAGCTGGTTGGGGAAGGCATTCGCATTGTTCTGGTTGACATTCTTATTGGGGAAACTGATGGCATCGTAGAGATAGGGTCGCTGGGCCATCGGATGGTGGCTCAGCGAGTTCAAGTGCGGCGGCATTGAGTTGATTGGCGTAAAGGCCGAATTGCTGGTGGTTTTCGTCAGGGATGCGGCATCATATGGACCCACAGCACTGGGTGTGGAGACTGTTTTGCAGAAAAAGAGAGCGACGTATGATGGGATGCTTTCAAGAATTATCTATTAATGGGAGTTTGGTCTTACCTATATCCTCCCTCACCGGATCGGGCATGCGATGATGTGGCTGCAACTCTGGTCCATGGCCATTGCTTTGGGCACTGTTTGGCGCCGTCGGCTGGACATAGTGACCCTCCATGCTGTGCTGCGGTGGTGGCTGCTGCTGCTGCTGCGGATGGTGATGATGCGGGGGCTGTTGCTGTTGCTGCTGTTGTGGCGGGACATGTTGCTGCGGTGGAACTCCGTGTTGCGGATGATGGTGATGCGTCTGATGTTGCTGCTGCTGTTGCTGTTGTTGCTGCTGCTGCTGTTGTTGCTGCTGCTGTTGTTGCTGTTGCTGTTGCTGCTGCTGTTGCTGGTGCATCACTTCCATGGCATTGGCAGCGGCAGCCGAATCAGGGCTCACCTTTGGCCAGTAGCTACTCTCGCTGGGGGCTATCGAAACCGGTGGCAGTCCCAGATTGTTGCGTTGGTGCTGGGCAGGATTGCTGGCTGTTGGAGGTCCCGTGGGTCCCCCTCCTGAACTGCCCGAAGCGGCGGCTGCAGCAGCGGCAGCAATGGCTGCTGCACTTCCCGGCGCAATCGGTGGCCGCTTGTCCGTGCGCTCTGCATGCTTCTGCATGTGCTTCGTCAGGTAGGTCTCCTGCGTGTACGACTTGCCGCAGTACTGGCAAATGTGTGTCTTCAGATGCTTGGACTCCTTATGCTTGGGTATGTGCTCCAGCAGCGAGGGCTCATCCGAGAAGCATTTGTAGCAGGAGTTGCACTTGAACGGCTTGTCCGTCTGGTGGCAGCGCGAGTGCGACTGCAGATTAGAGAGCTGGGAGAAGGCCTTCTGGCAGCCGGGATGGCGGCACTTGTACGGCTTGTCGCCCGTGTGGGTCCGTATGTGCTGCTGCAGGTGCGACAATTGGGTGAATTTTCGCTGACAGATCTCGCAGCGGTACGGCTTGATGCCCAAATGGATTCGCGTGTGCTGCGACAGATACGACGAGTTGGCAAAGGCCTTTGAGCACTGGGTGCACTTGTACGGCTTGGCCTCCCTCATATGAATCTGGGTGTGCAGCTGCAGATCCGCCTTGGAGCTAAAGATCTGGAAAGAGCATAGAGCAGAGCAGAATAAAGGTAAGTTATGGGGAAATCAAAGATGGGCAGGGAATATTGTTGCTGTTTGAAGGAGTTTCGATTCTTAATTCTAGAAAATCTGCAAATAAAAGTTTATATTTCCCTCCCTTCACCTTCGTATCCTTCACATCCAACTGTGTCATATGATGGGGCGAACTGGTGGAGGAGGAGATGCCATTACCAGGAGCCGCCGCTGTAGGTACAACACCGCCACCGGCTATAACAGGTGCTACTCCTGGCACTGCCACTCCACCTGTATTCTGGCCATTCCTCTCATTGATAGTTGCATTCTGCATCCGGATGCCGCCATTGTCCACACTATTGCTCGTCACGATGATGTGTTGATTGGGATTGGGATAGATGCGTGACTTGCGACCACGAGTGGATCCCGTGGGAGTATTCCCGGTTGCCGTGGAGCTGCCGCCGCCGCCGCTGCTGCTGCTCACGACAGCATCGTTCACGTGCTTCTGGCTGTTGGAGCCCGTTATCGCGGAGGAGGGCACACCACTGCTCTCTAGAGTGGTTATGCTCGGCTTCGGCTGTTGCACCAGTGGCTCCACTCCACCGCCACTCAGGTGGTACTGATGCTGTTGCTGCTGGTGTTGTTGCTGGTGCTGCTGCTGCTGTTGCTGCGGCGGCGGTTGATGGTGAGGCTGGTGTGGCTGGTGTGGCTGTTGACTATAGCTGAGAACGGAGCTCCTTAAATCGGCCGTATTCGAGAAGACACTAAGTGGACCCAAGGCCACTCGTTCGTTTAAACTGTTTCGCAAATGATCTATGGATCTATGAACTGCATGGGAGTAATCTCCGCCAGCGGGTGGTATCTCCCCAATCAGGGGAGAATTGTGATGGTAATCGAGGCCCCCTCCAATGGGTCGATATTCTATTAGACGTCCTTCCATTACACTTTTTATTTTATCACTTTTTTTGTTGAATCTGGTGTATTCTTTTATTAATTGTCTAAGCACTTATGATATCTGAAAAATTAATTCACTACAATCAGTTGGCTTACATGGCGTATACGTGATATCGACGATATTTTACTTTTATTTTGAGATTTTTTACAACTTTTTTGATTTAAAGTAGAAAAACACACAGTTTTTTTTTTAGTTCTGTTGAGTTCAAGTATTGAAAAAGTAATGAAAAAAAACGAATTTCGACACAAAAAAAGTTTGATAATTTTAAAAAGATTCCTAAAAACTTGTTATGACTGAAATAATACCTAACTTTGATCTGTTTTCGATAACATATTTTGTATGGTCGCTTTAGTTTTATTTTTATCTATTTGTGTCTTCATGATTAATTTAAAACTCATTTACACTGCTCAAAGCTTTTATGTACTTAAGTAGGTACTAAGAAAAATATATTGATGGCCCTTAAAAATAATCTAAATTCCTATATATATATGTAGATCCATTAATATTCTTTCAAATCTCATATTTTTCTACCAGTATTTATAGCTAATCTTCCCTAAAACCCAAACAATTTAAAAGCTACAGTCTTTACAAGAAAGCGAAGCGTGAAAATGTTGAATATCTTTTAACTCTCTGTTGACATTCTGCCACAACTGCCAAAGCCAATATTAAATAAAGGGAAAAATAACAGAAAGAAGAAAAAAGAAGAGGGCTGGGAAACCTGTGAGACGAGACCACAAAAACGCTTTGGTCTCGGCTGGCTGCACCGCGAAGCCGGAAAGGACTTTTTGTCTTTGCTTTTGTTTTCCTAAATCTAACGCTATTCCGCTATTTTTTCCACCGAGTTCACTTTTTATTTCGCATTTTCAATTGCTATGCCTGTTCACATATTTTTTTTTGCCGCAACGCTTTTGGCGCGACGGAAGTATTTTTTCCACACGAATTTGACTTGTATTTGACTTTTTAGCACGCGTTTTCCGCTCTTCAGCTTTTCTATTTTCTATGCGTTTTTTCATCTTTTTCTGCTGGCTTCGATTAGATTTTTTCTATATATTTGTATAAACGTTGGCGGCGCGCAGACATGCCGCAGACATCCTGTGGACTTTTCCAGGTGAAAGTCCTCAATGGTTGGCCCGTTTTTGTTGTTCCATTTTGTAATGCTCCAATTTGAGATTCTCTAGTTCTAAGCGCGACAAATTATTCATTTATTTGTGGAGTATTTTATTTGTTTTTATTTGCATGTTTTTGTTTGCTTTTTGTGTAGCGTTTAGATTGAATTTGTAGACGGATTTTTTGTGTCCATGCACAACATTGACCTTGAACGGTGATTTGTGGGTTAGATTTAGCATATTTCGAAAAATGGTGGAGAAAAAACCAACTAGATTTGTCAACAGTTTTGGCATTTGACATGCAGATTGGGGGCGGACACAATTTCTGCGCTTTGCTTTAATTATAACAAGTGTTAATGCATGATTAACAAATTATTTATGGAATTGAAATGCAAGAGTTGAGAGGTTCTCTGAGATTTAATTGACATGGTAATACATAAGTGGAGGAGGAATTGCTGTGCTGTGTGAAATACGAGTCTGTGAAATGTGAACAGAATTTTAATGAATATTCTTTTCGTTAAATTCCTGCAATTAATTAATAGCTTATTGTATGGAGTTCCTTTTTATATTAGTACAGTTTAAAAGTGCTTTCTAACGAAATAGTGATTGTAATATGTTTCGATCGTAGTGGGTTTCAAAGCATTAATCTATGGCTATTAGGTAATCAATTTTTCATTCAATTTCCATCCAAAGAACTTCCTGTATAAATCTATCCCCACACTTTGTCTGGACCCAATCGCTGGACAGCGATTTCTTTCCTCGTTTATTGGTTAGCTAAATATTGACTTTTTTACGACACGGCCATTTAATTTATATAGCAGGCTGAGCAAACATTCAGTGTGTGGGAAAGTATATAAGCGGATTGCATATACATAATGTAACCCAGGCCTAAAACCAGAAAACAAAAAAGGAAAAACTGCATAAAAATCACAAAAATAAAAACGGAAAAATTGTATAAAACTGGGGAAATTATGATGCTCTCTGTCTGTGTTTGCATTTGCATTGGGGGTTTGAGTTTTGGTGTTTCGCTTCGGGTTTGAGTTCCTTTGGGGTTGAAGTTTGGGCTCTTTGGGGTCATCAGGGCTGTGTTAATGCGTAGTTTGGGGCTTTTAACTAATTAACATTTAGTGGTTTGGCAATATTTTCACTGGGGTTCTTCGTCCCCGTCCCCGTGCACATTCCCATCTCTTTCCTCGCGCATTGCGTGGGATGTTATTAATTGAAAAATGTGTAAAAAATTTGCGCGCTCTTTTATTATTCATAATTGTTTTTGTTGTTGCGTTTTTCTGGTTTTTGTTTAATTCTGATTAATGCATTTTTCACACTACTCTTTAGGTTTTTGTATCAACTTATGTGCACCGGCATCACTAAAAATATTTCCGCATTTTTACACTTTTTCTGCCACTTTTTGCACACAGTAGATGAAAAATGCATTGGCTTGATGTTATGCGATATAATTTTTATTTTTTTGTATTTTGGCGTCCAGTATCCTTTTTTACATCGCTGGTTTCTTATGCATTTTAATGATATTTAATTTCACATTCGCGATTGGAGTTTGTTTTGTCTGCCTGTTTGCACTAATCATTAATTAATTTCACATCACTTAAAATATGCAATTAATATTCCGTGTTGTCTCTTAATTAAAAATTATGTTTTGCAGCCTATTAGAAGCATACGCCCGTCTCTGCTCCGATTACCCGCGTAAACGATGTGCACGTCGCGCTAGTCTTTGATAAACTGATCGCTCGAACGAGGCCAGAGCATCGAATTCATGGCCAGAACAGGGAACAGTGAACACCGAACAGCGAACAGCCAACAGCCAACAGCTGGTCAAAAGGGTTTCACTAACGGCTCATTCCCTGGGAGCAGCCGTTTATGCCAATCTTACTGCTCTGCTCTTGCGGTGTGGGCCCGAAAAAGATCTTCTCAGCATATCAAATATCGAATCTGTTGCCCGAAAATCAGGCTGGACCAGCTCCGGAATCAGGTGTTTTCTGCTGCCCAATTAGTTTCGAGTTGATTGGATCCGCCAGGAGAGCAGATAACTCGGGTCTCGAGTTAGTCAAGTCAACTAGAACAATATTTGGTCAACGAGCTTATGGGATTATACTCACAAGAGTTTGGGCTAAGGACAAGGGTTTGATGTTCGAAAAGAATTTAAGTTGGGAAACGGGGTGACAAGTCAGCGAGCTTTGGAGATCAAAGAACTTGTAGGGAATAAAAGAGAACTTCCTATTTGATAAATCAAATATCAATAACAATGGTTTCAGAATTCTTAAGGAAATAGATTAAACGAAATTATAAAGTAGTCAAATGTTAAGACAATGTCAATGAAATAAATCCGAAAAAAGAATGTGATAAAAGGTACATCTATTAATTCAATTAAATCTAAACAAATGTAAGTTAAATGATTGATTTTTTTTCAAAATAAGCTTATGAAAATTCATATAAAAATGTACTACTTGTAAACGCTTCTAGAAGTCAAGTAAAAAGTATTAAAAATACTCAAATAAATGTATAAATTAATCTCGAAAGAAGTTCCGGACAATGGAAGTTAAATTATTTTGCATTTTTTAATACCCAAAGCCTACTAAAATGTATGACCTCAGTGGTAGTTCGATTGAACGTCTTTAAAGTGTACAATTTTAGATTTCTTTAAAATTTATGTGTAAGAAATTATGCTGTTTCGCGTACAGGTGGCGGCACTGGCTGTTTGAGATTTATCCTGACCTTGATATTGAACACAAGAAACAGCTGATATACTGTACAAACACAGACGCACAGACACACAGGGCGGCACAGAGGGGGAGACCGGCGAAGTACATTTATTATTTATATGAAAAGCCCGCCAGCTGCCTCACACACACACACCACACACACACATAGGGAGTGTGGAAAGCAAAACAAAGCCAGCTGCTGGCTGCTTGACTTTCTTCTTAGTGTCT